GCGGGTCCGATTCTTTGCTTCTGCCCAGCACTGAACCCGCAGCTGCTGTTTTGTATTCTGCCCCCTGCAGCTCAGGAGCAGAAACCTGGGGTGCCAAGAGGGGAAGACTTGGGCCAAGTTCTCTGCAGCCAGAGTCTCCCGTAGGGGTGGGTGAGACGGGGCGGGGGCAGACAAAGATTAAATCCCAGTGTTGCTGTTGGTGTCACGTTCTCCAAGGGGGTGGGCCTGTTTGCCGGCGCAGGGGTCTCTGGGCTCAAAGGCTGCAGAGTTCCCCCCATGCCCTGCCTCTGGCCCAAATTAAGCTCTCCTGGGTCCAAAGCCCAAACCAGAGACTGGGGGGCAGAGAAAACAGGACCTTCCAAAGGGGCGGGGCTTATATCAACTGCAACATAAAAAGAAGCAGGGTGACAGGCAGTCCTCAGTCCAGGGAATGCCGAGGCCAAAGGCAGGGTCACGAAATCCATTCTTGAAGCCACCCGTGAGACTCCGTACATACCCTGGTGTTCACTAAAAATCGCCGGGGCCTGGCCACTCCACGGATCACCCACGCAGGCAGGGGGCGTGTCCGGCAGGTGTGGGTGGAGCCTGGGGTGCTGCACGTTACGGGTTCCCAGAGGCAGTCGGCCGCCACGGGGAAGCAGGGCCGTGGGTCCTCAGGCTTCAGCAAGCAACAGCCTCCCGGGGACGGCTTGTTCGCGCCCAGGCTGCTGGTGCCTGAGTTCCGGATTCGCTAAGTCCAGAGTGGGGCCCGAGAGCTTGCATTTCCAAGCAGCCGCCCCACACGGCTGCTGCGGCTGCGGGTCCCAGAGGCAGTGACGCAAGGCTGGGACCCGGAATCAGACTCTGGGTTTGGATCCTGGCCCTTGTGAGGACGCTGACTTGGGACGCAGCCTCCCCATCTGACAACGGCGCCAGTAGCAGCTCCCGGAGTGTCAAAGCGGGGCACGCACACGGCGCCCTCCGCAAAGATCAGCTCTCGGATCCAGAAAGCAAGGCATCAAGGAAGATCCCGCCAAGTGTGGGAATCGTCCCGCACCGTCCTGCCGCCTTCCCGAATCGCTGCCTTTCAACGTGAGCTCCCAGCCTCAGAACCGGCAGCTCATTAGCCGGCGGCCGGGGCCTCTCCGGGCTCCTCTCTTCCCTCGTGGCTCCTCATTGTGCTGCACCCGACCAAGACCTTTCACTTCGCGGTGGCTCCTCGGCTGCTCTGCCTTCCCTTCTCCTCCTCTCCCAGCCTTTGTCCAAATTGCCCCAATGCTTATAATAACTTCCTCCTGCTGTTTCGCGCGCGCGCTCACACACACACACACACACACACACACACACACACTCCATCTCGTTCTTCGAGCACTGCTCAAGTTTGGTTCTCCTTGGGAAGATTTCCCTGATTAACTCTTTATCAGTCCTCCAACGACCTGCACAGCCCAGCCCCGGGGTTCCCAGCGCCGCCCGGCCCTGTGCCGCAGCAGCCGACACCCAGGCGCACACACCCCCGTGTTTCTCGTCTCCTGTGTCAAAGCTTGAGCCTTGTGATCAGGGAGCAGACCGGTCCTTAGCAGACACCCAAGTGCGTTAACGTCTAAGAAATTGCTTTGCCAACTGGAAACAGCATTCATGCGCTGGCGACCTGGGTCCTGTGCACATAGGCACGTCCAGGCCCACGCGTGGGTGGAGACTTCCAACCAGACCGAGGGGCTGCAAAGAACGGAGTCTCATGATCTGGGTGCATGGAAGTGTCTACCGCACACGCGTGTAACCAAGCAGAGAGAGCTGTTAGGGGGAGGGAAAGTCATGTAGAAAATCTTTTATCAGAGAGAGAGAGAGAGAGAGAGAACCGTGTAAAAAGGAAGCCCAGTTGCTCAGGCGAGGCGGGCAAACGCGCAGGGTCCCCGGCGACGGCCTTGGCTCGCAGCGCCAACCGTGTAAAAAGGAAGATGTACAGAATGCATCTCGATTTCTGTGCTCCTGCAACGCCTTTCCTACGCGGGCAGGCATCTGGCCTCTAGCGGCGAGGATGCGCTAGGACGCCTGCAGCCCACACAGGAGTGCGTGCGTGCATTCCTGGCTCCTGCTCCCAGCTTCCTGCGGATGTAGACCCGGGGTCGCAGCAGTGATGGCGCAAGTACCGGGTTCCCTCCACTGCCATGGGAGCCCGGCCCGAGTTCCCAGCTCTGGGCCAAGGCCCCCGAGGCACGGGTGGTGCCGGCATTCGGAGGGTGAACCGAGGAATGGGGGATCTCCACTGGCTTCTTTCTCTCATCTCTGCTTCTCAGATACCTAACTATATCTGACTGTGTGTGTGTGTGTGCAACTGAAACACACCCTCACACACACATCCTGAGGGGGAGGCTGAGATCTAAGTGACGGCCTCTCTCAGGCACTTGCTCTTTAATCCCCAGATGCCACTCCTGCAGCAGACAAGGAGCAGCAGCCAAACGCTGTCCCTCTGCTCAGAGCCCTGATGTCACCCGAGGAGGAGCTGCTCGGCAAGGCAGGGCCCTGGCTGCGTCTACACAACAGGCCCTGGGGGGCCTGCTTGCAGCCCCACACCACTGCAGCGTGGCGGCTATGGGAGGTCGCCCCCACGGGGAGGCGGTAGAACAGAAGGCATCGCGGACAGACGGGGCCTTGAATGACGGAATCGAGTACGTGAGCTACCTGCTCCACCTAACGAGAGCCACCAGGGTGGAGATGCAGACACTCGGTGATGTAAGACGCGTGTCCCCTGTGCGGCGCCTGACGACTATGCCAGCGTGGGGGCGCCCAGGGGTCCCCTGTGTGGCGCCTGACGACTATGCCAGCGTGGGGGCGCCCAGGGGTCCCCTGTGCGGCGCCTGACGACTATGCCAGCGTGGGGGCGCCCAGGGGTCCCCTGTGTGGCGCCTGACGACTATGCCAGCGTGGGGGCGCCCAGGGGTCCCCTGTGCGGCGCCTGACGACTATGCCAGCGTGGGGGGTGCCCAGGGGTCCCCTGTGTGGTACCTGACGACTATGCCAGCGTGGGGGCGCCCAGGGGTCCCCTGTGTGGCGCCTGACGACTATGCCAGCGTGGGGGCGCCCAGGGGTCCCCTGTGTGGTGCCTGACGACTATGCCAGCGTGGGGGCGCCCAGCGGTCCCCTGTGCAAGACCTGACGACTATGCCAGTGTGGGGGCGCCCAGGGGTCCCCTGTGTGGTGCCTGACGACTATGCCAGCGTGGGGGCGCCCAGGGGTCCCCTGTGTGGTGCCTGATGACTATGCCAACGTGGGGGCTCCCAGGGGTCCCCTGTGCAAGACCTGACGACTATGCCAGCGAGGGGGCACCCAGGGGTCCCCTGTGCGAGACCTGACGACTATGCCAGCGTGGGGTGCCCAGCGGTCCCCTGTGCAGCTCCTGACTATGCCAGCATGGGGGGCACCCAGGGGTCCCCTGTGCAGCGCCTGACAACTATGCCAGCGTGGGGGCTCCCAGGGGTCCCCCGTGCAGCTCCTGACTATGCCAGCGTGGAGGCGCCCAGGGGTCTCCTGTGCGGTACCTGACGACTATGCCAGCGTGGGGGGTGCCCAGGGGTCCCCTGTGTGGTACCTGACGACTATGCCAGCGTGGAGGTGCCCAGGGGTCTCCTGTGCGGCGCCTGACGACTATGCCAGTGTGGGGGGTGCCCAGGGGTCCCCTGTGTGGTACCTGACGACTATGCCAGCGTGGGGGCTCCCAGGGGTCCCCTGTGCGGCGCCTGACGACTATGCCAGCGTGGGGGCGCCCAGGGGTCCCCTGTGTGGTACCTGACGACTATGCCAGCGTGGGGGCGCCCAGGGGTCCCCTGTGTGGTACCTACGACTATGCCAGCGTGGGGGCTCCCAGGGGTCCCCTGTGCGGCGCCTGACGACTATGCCAGCGTGGGGGCGCCCAGGGGTCCCCTGTGTGGTACCTGACGACTATGCCAGCGTGGGGGCACCCAGGGGTCCCCTGTGCGGCGCCTGACGACTATGCCAGCGTGGGGGCGCCCAGGGGCTGGTGGAGCAGGGGGAGGGGCTGTGCTCACGCCCTGAACCTCCTCCTGCAGGTGCCCGAGGAGAGGCAGAAGGCCCTGAGGTCCTTGCAGAGCCCAAATGAAGGGAGCTGGGGTGGGAAGTGGGCGTGGCTGGGCCTGGGTACAGCAAGGCTGCGTGTGTCCACGCTCCAGGGCCAAGGCACCCTCTGACCCCGCCCCTCCCCGCCATGCCCATGCAGACAGGGTCCACGTGGACCCGCGTGCCGGGGGTGCCATGTAATCAGAAATAGGGACGGGGTTTCCCCAAGCTCACGTCCCTGCTGCAGCCGCTGTGGGGTCTTCGGGGAAGGCCTGACGTGGGATCTTTTAATTAGAACAAATTACGCTAAAATCACTCTGAAACCCTGTCTCACAGATTACGTGCAAGAGTGGGCGAACGTGGCTACCGTGCCACAGGCAAAGCACACTGCAGCCTCCCACACGGAGCCAGGAGAGGTTCTGGGGGCACAGCTGGCCCCCAAGAAGGGGGCGTTCCTCAAGGGAGTCGAGGACTGGGGATTACAGAGGGACCCCCGCCCTACAATCCAATCCCATCCAGCCTCCCAACGAGGTGAGCCGACCCTAAAGGCTGAGAACAGAGTAGGGGAGGCCACGCTGTGCAGGGCTTCAAACCTGACTTTTTTTCTCAGCTCTGCCACCTCCCTTTCCTTTCAACTGGCCCTGGGTAAAGCCACTTGCCCTGTCTGTGGCCTCAGTTTCCAAATCTGTCAAATGGGGCTGGGGCTGGTGGTGGTGTGAACATGTACTCCTTGCACCCAAGAGGAACAGATGAGGTGACACGGTGGGACGGCCTGGCAAGGACAGCACGCTCCGCAAGGGATGGGCGCGACGTGCACGTGCCCTGCCTGCGGGGACCGGCCTGGGCGCCACACTCACGTGGGGCGTGGACAGCTCAGACAGCACATCCTGCCGCCAGCTCGCAAGAGGGCCCTGGAGTGGCCGCGGTCCGTGGGGCTGTGCCCCTCTTACCACTGCTGATGGCCGAGTTGGCAATGAACCGTAGCCTCGCTCCACTGGTCGGCACTGGAGACGGAGTAGGAGCGCTGGTGCATGCCGTCGGGCCGGCTGTTGAAGGAGACCAGGCTGATGCCGCTCGCCAGCTGAGACCCCGGCGCACTAGAGACATTCCCTAGGAATAAACAAGTTGGGTGAACACCACGGCGGACTGCAGGCTGCAGAAGCCGGCTCCACGCAGTCCTGAGAGCTGCACGCCGGCCCGCAACGTCCCTGAGCACCTGCCTACGCGGCCCAGGGCCAGGACCTGGGAGGGCACAGCGGCTGGCGCACGGCAAAGCGACGGCAAGGAAGCTGGCCCTTCCGACTGTGCGCAGGCGATCCTGCAGAGACGCGTGGCCAGCTGCAACCTGTGGGTCGCGCGGAGGTGAAGACAAAATGACGGGTCAGCTAGCATCAGGCAGGCCCCTCTGGTGGGCGCTGGGGAGCCCACACGTCCGGGGCAACCGAAAACGCTTGCCACCTCACGGTGCAGCCACACTTTACGATCTACACAAATCAACACAGAAACGCAGGCCGCGCACCAGGTAAGTCTGCCTTTAACCTTGAACGGACCCAGCAGAGGAACAACCTGAGCAGCTTTCTCGCGGCGATGAAAAACGATTCCGTTGTGTACTTAATGATTTGAGTCAGTTGCTCAACATCACGGTGAATTATTATCCGGCCACGCCAATTGCAGACTCAAAAACATAACGAAGTGCCTTTCTCGGCGGCTCCGCCAGGCCCACCTCGCTGCCGTGGACCGAGTCTGCTGGCTCCGGGGGCGGATCCCCAGAGGTTCAGGGTTGTTTTAAACTTTCCTCTGACAGTTGCCGTTCCAGACCAACTACGCTCTCAGCTGTTTCTCACACGAGGCTCTAATGGTACAAGATCTTAAACACACAGCCTACATCAGTGGTTGCCAAGCCTGCCCGATGACCAAATTTCCTAAGGAGCTTTTAAAAAACCAGAAACTTCGAAATACAGAAAGACTGTGATGCGTGGGGGCTGGGAAAGCACTCGGCTGACCAAGGCCGCGGCTGGGGGAGGAACCAGAGCGAGCGTGGCGCGATCCCGTGCGGCACAAGGCAGGCGCAAATTCAGTCAGAGAGGGGCAGCAGGCGAGCGCCCAGCGAGGACCAGGTGCAGCAGGTGAGGGGCGTGTGCTCTGAACACGGACGCGCTCCTTTAACTGGGACGCTTCGGATGCCAGGAGGAGTCCGGTCCTAAGCAGCCTGCCTGCCCGCAGACAAGAGCCAGGAACATACCCAAGGAAGGGAAGAAAACTGGCCAGGGACCTCCCTCGGACCCACAGCCGCAGCACTGCCGGGGAGTGAGGCAGAAACGCAGAGTCCCAGGCCCACCCAGCACGTGCCTGTAAGATCCCCAGGCAATTTGTGCGGAAAAACCGGCACGCGAGACGTAACCGGAACCAAAGCGCCTGAGCAGCCGCCCACGGCTGTCAGAGGCGCCTGGCGGGAGGGCCCCGGGCTGCGGCCGGAGTCCCAGGGCTGCACCCTCTGTCTTCTCCTCTAGGACCCCCCCACCTCATATCTGGGAGCTCAGCTTTAGGACCTGGGTGTGCCCCAAACCCTGGGAAGGCAGGGAACCACCCTGAGCCCCAAATGACAGTCCCTCCTCGGGGTCAGCGAGGGGAACACACGAGCTCCTCCTGGGATTCCCCCCACGCCACCCCCGGGGCCACTCCGGTGCTGAACTCTGGCACCAAGGTACTCGGACCCATGGCCGCGGTGTCCCCTGGGGAGTGGGCCCCCCCCCGCTGCCCTGTAGCTGGGGCTCCGCCTGCAGCCTGTGTCCGCTGGGTCCCTGTGCATCCCTTTTCTGCCCACTCCCCTCTGGGCGGGCACCTGTGTCCAGCACCTTCTGGCTTCTCCTGGGCTCAACCAATGGCGAGCAGAGCAGGGGTAGGAAGGCGGTGGGAGAGGGAGCTCACGCGCTTACTCCTGGGCCCTCCGTGGGCGTCACCTGGGGCTGGCTGCGCCTCTCTGCTGGGGGCTTGCTCTGGCCTCGCTCTGGTTCCTCAGCCCTCTGGGCCTGCAGGTGGTCCTAGCACCGCTCCTGCCAGTCCCGGGGTCTGCGGTGCGCCCTGGGCCCGCAGGTGGTCCTAGCACCGCTCCTGCCAGTCCCGGGGTCTGCGGTGCGCCCTGGGCCCGCAGGTGGTCCTAGCACCGCTCCTGCCAGTCCCGGGGTCTGCGGTGCGCCCTGGGCCCGCAGGTGGTCCTAGCACCGCTCCTGCCAGTCCCGGGGTGTGCGATGTGCCCTGGGCTTCTCCCCACTGGGGCCCACACAACCCCCTTTCAGAGCTGAATTCAGGGAGAGGCGCCTCCCCAGGCAGCTCCTGGGCTTCCTGGCCTGACCCCGTCCTGGCCCAAGACTTCCTGGCTGACAGAGGCTCGGGCCACGGCTGATGAGTTTATGGAAAAAGGAAAGGGGGGACAGTGAGAACTCCATGTGGGCAGGGCGAGACAAGTCACCGTGCGGAGCCCACCCCCACACACCCCCACACCAGGCACCCGGGCCCGTCCTGCCTGCGGGGGGACTGTCCTGTGCTCAGATGCCAAGGCCCACAGGGTCCAAACACCTGCAAAACTGAGATGCCCTGCCCTGTGCCCGTCCGTCCGACCCCTCACTCGCAGTGCCACCTCCCGTGCGCATTCTCTCCAGAGTGGTGCTCCGAGGACAACCAGTCTAGAGGCCTCCTGGAACTACTTCCTTAGGTTATCTCAGTGCCTCTGTCACAGCCTTTCATAGCACAACTCCAGCAGTAAGCGTCCACATGCCGGAAAGACCCCCATCGGCCTGCGGTCCAGACGGCGCGCACACAGGATGTCCAGGCGGAGACCAAAGGTGGCGTTGCTGCAAATGGACTGGGGAGACGCCCACAAGGGGACACGCTATGGGCAGGTGGCGGGATGGCGCTGCTGGCCCAACGGTCTTCCGGTTTCTAGCTGTTTGTCAAGTAAAACTTCAAGCCCAGTGCACTGGGATACTGGTGGCCCAGGTACAGCCCTTTCTCAAAATATCCACGAGACGATTCCCCATTGCAGACACAAAAACAATTCTGACTTTCTTGTGAGTATATCGCTTTTTTAATATCCGAGGATACTTCAAAACGTCCATGGAAAATGCAGGTAAGAGCTAACGCAGGCAGGCTCTGGGTCCAGGAGGGCTGGGTTCGAGTCCTGGTTCCGCTCCCGACTCCAGCTTCCTGCTGACGGGCGCTCTGGCAGGCAGCAGGTGAGGGCTCTAATACTTGAGTCCCTGCCGCCCACGTGGAAGACCTGGCCTGAGTTCCCGGCTCCTGGCTTTGGCCCTGCCCAGCCTGCGTCACTGTGGGAATCTGGGCGAGTTCTATCTTCTGCCTCTCAAATAAAGAACAAAACCACCGTATTTTCCGTGACCTTTCTGAAGGCTCCTTGTATACTCCTACCACTCTGTTTTTCATCTGCTAACTACTTTCTGTAAGGACCAAAAACTAAGAAAAAAAATTGTGAAGGGCAAGAAATATTCCTTCTGCCCCAAATTTGCAATGCCTGGATCCCAAAACAGGTGTTTGCCTTCATTTGTGAAGGCAACAAGACACACATTTTAACTCGGAGGCAGACCTGTGGTCCACAGTCAGGGCCCCGTGGGGCGGCCACTGTGGCTTCGCGGGCCCGTGAGGCGTCTCGGCCCAAGTGAGAGTGGACCCGGCCAGAGGCCACACTTTCTACTCTGAGTCTATCAGCCAGAGGCAGCAGCGGCCGCCAGGTGTTGAGCGAACGCCTTCAGGAAGCGCGCACAGCGCCAGTTTCCGCTGCTTTACCCACACACATCAACCAAAGCTCACGTGCAGTCCTGCTTCTGCTGCCGCACGAGTGTCACCGAGCGGCCTTGGACCGCGACCTTGCTTGCAGTTTTTGTGAGCAGGCATCCAGCGGTGTCTGCTCTGTGGTGCCCCTCGGGAGGTCTCAACACTTGAAAACACCTTGATGCTGCGTCTGAAATCACTTGGCGCTCTCTCGCAAAGCACTGAGAGGGCGGCATCTTTCACTGAACGGTAATTCATTCCATGTGGATGAGCTGTTAATTAGGGCTCACGATCTGGAGTTCGCACTCATGAAACAAGTGGGCGACTTTATCCGACGTTCCGAGACACGAGGAGCTCGACATCCAGACCACGGGAGGTGCGAGCGTGCCTAACCACGGACCCAACCACAGAGCCAAACACCGGCTCGGCCAGCCTGAAGGGCCTCGCGCTGCTCCAAGCAGCCTGCCTGGGCGGGCAGAGCCCTCCTTGCCCGTCCTTCAGGCCCAAGAGCTGGGGAGCTGACACCTACAGCCTCAACAGTCCATGAGGACACCTAGCGCTGGTGCTGCTGTATCAAGTTCTTAGGCCTAAAGCTGGTGGCTGCAAGACCACCCCTGACCTCTTGCCACCCAGCCATCCGAAGAACGAGATGGCTCATGGCACGCAGCATTGTGGCCCGGGGGTAAGCACACACTTGCAACACTGGCATCCTGCATCAGAGCCCGGTTCAAGGCTCAGCTCCACCACTTCTTTTTTTATTATTATTATTATTATTATTTCTGACAGGCAGAGTGGATAGTGAGAGAGAGAAACAGAGAAAGGTCTTCCTTTGCCGTTGGTTCACCCTCCAATGGCCGTGCTGATCCGATGGCAGGAGCTAGGTACTTATCCTGGTCCCCCATGGGGTGCAGGGCCCAAGCACTTGGGCCATCCTCCACTGCACTCCCTGGCCACAGCAGAGAGCTGGCCTGGAAGAGGGGCAACCGGGACAGAATCCGTCGCCCTGACCGGGACTAGAACCTGGTGTGCCGGTGCCGCAAGGCGGAGGATTAGCCTAGTGAGCCGCGGCGCCGGCCTAGCTCCACCACTTCTGATCCAGCTCCCTGCTAATGCGCCTGGGAAAGCAGTGGGAGACGGTCCAAGTGCTTGGATCCCTGCCACCCAGGTGAGAGGCCTGCATGGAGGTCCAGGCTCCTGGCTTCTGGGGTCGTCTGGAGAGTGAACCAGCAGATGCGAAGTCTCGTGCTTGTTATTTCCTCTGTTGCTCTGCCCTTCACATAAATCAATCAATCCGTACAAAGGAGTCCCTGGTCACAGGCGCCAAG